ATCTATCTATCTATCTATCTATCTATCTATCTATCTATCTATCTATCTATCTATCTATCTATCCTGGTTAGGAACAGTTGATAATTTTCCCACAAGCCAACTTAACAAAGCCAGTTAGGAGTGAGGTTTTAGAAAACCTGGCTATCAATCCAAACAGAGACACTCTACAATCCAGGTTGATTTTAGACTATTTTATTGGGACTATGCAAAATATCTTGGAAAGGTGGCTAGTTCTCTCATATTAGGGCTAAGCTGAAACCAGTTTTAAAGTGGGATTAAAGGGTTTTTTAAAAGAAAACTTCCTAAATACCCAGCACCCATTGGATCCAAGAATATATATCATCTTCTTTTGGTGTCCATCAAGCATCAAGTCCTACCAGATCCCAATTTTTTAAACATCATATCTGGGGGGGGGAAAATGCCAACAGACAACCAGGCTGCTGAATCTTACTACTACTTACAGTCATTATTAACTAAACATCAAAATCCTTTATCTAAATAAATGTTATCCAATCTCTTCTTTAAAATGTTATGGAGCATTTACAGCTTCTGGAGGCAAGTTGTTTCACTTGGAAGGGTCCTTGGAGGTCTTCTAGTCCAGCCCCGTGCTCAAGCAGGAAAAACCTGATACTATTTCAGACAATCTCTTCTTAAAAACCCCACAACTTCTGGAGGCAAGACGTAGATCTGTGAAATCTTCCTCCACCATGTCCACCCCTCTTGGCGAGATTACATGACTGGTCACCTGCACAGAATTAATCCTGCCGTAATGATACCCTTCTCTTCTCCCTTTTCACTGTTTTGCCTTTTTTTTTTTAAAGAAAAAAGAGGAGTGTAATTGGAGAAATTAAAAATAACTCTTTTCCCATGAACACAAAGTACTTTTCTTTGTAAGCCACCTACTGCACAAAGATAATCTTCTGGGCTTTTGAAAGTATGATTGAGGAAGAGAAACTGAGGAAGTGACATTTCCACTCACCTGTAGAAGCTTCTGAAAGGCAAACTGAACAGAGCTTGTCCCCCTCTGGCCACTTTCAGGTAAGAACTACCACATTATTTTACCTTTCCTTGCCATTTCTACCTTATAATTTCTCCCTGCTTCGCTATGGTCTCCACAATTTCTTATCTGTAGCGAGGAACCTTGAAGAACCTTGATTTTTCCAAGGTCTCTTTCTGGCCAAGTTAGATGTGAATTTGTAAGTGATCGGTGCCTTTGGAATAATTCTATGAGAGAGAGTTTTGAAGAGAGGTGAAGGAACGAGCGCTGCCCAGTGTTACTAACATGATGGTAGAACATGCCTCGTTCATCTCAATGGGTTTGGGCCACTAGTTGATGAATGACATTCTTGAATAAAATTATTTCCTGGACCCTTCCTGCTGCCAACAGACATTTTAGAAGGAGAAGAATCAACACGCACCTCAACATCCAGCTTAGGTGTCCTTTGACATGCTATAGACGTGACGACAAATCCATTTCTCATTTCTTCCTTCCCTGAAGAACCAACTCGTAAAGGACTGTGTGGTCTTCACCATAGCCTCCCCTTCAGCCATGAAGATCTTATGCATCAACCACAAGTTGCTGAAGTCCATCTGGAGCAGCAGCAGGACACTTGGTGGATCGGTCCCCCAAGCCGTGAGGCTGTTTACGTCCCTCAATCTTTCCGAGTTTGAAGCCATCAATCGAGGGGACAAAGAGGTGCCGAAGTACTTCAATTTCGCCAATGACGTGTTGGATAAATGGTCTAAAATTGAAAAGGTAAGGTTCCTGATTGATGTGCATGTCCCCATATCTCATTTTTTTTCTTTAAACAATTGAAGAGAAATGAGACAACATACCAGATGGTCAGCCCCAAATTTTAAGCAAATCATGTAGTGGGTTGTTATTGTTGTTCTTGTTTTGTATTAAGAGAACGGCACTATGGAAGAAAATATTGTTTGGAGCTCCATTCCAAAAGAGAACTGTACTTTGGAAATTTGGAAATTATAACTATAATTCGCGTCACACCACTTAACCTGATGACCTGCATACTTGCTTTTTATTTATTTCACTTATTTGTAATTATTAAATTGGTTTGCTGCCCATCAAGGCAACTCTGCATGGCTTGCAACATTAAAATGAAAGCATAAATCTAGGTATAAATGTATAAAATCACATTAAAATTGTGATAAATAAATACAACTTTTTTTTTCTGTCTAGGTGAGATTTCTCTTCTTAGGATAGTTTATCTTAACTTTTTAAATTAAAAATGGTTTATTTGTTTGCATTTTTCTTTTTCTTTTTTGTATTCTTTTTTTCAAGAATATCATGACTTAATGGTAAAAAAAGGATAGCACAAAAGATTGTAAACAATTGACACACTGTATGTATATAATTGAAAGAGGGTTTTGTTTCTATGTTTGTTGTTAAAAATAAAAACTTTGTTTAAAAAAAAGAATATCATAACATAAGCAAGAAAGAGATTTACAAGAAATATAAATTTGAAAATGTCAGAAGTAACACAAATATTTGTCTATATGTTACAATTTCTGCATCACTTTAGAACTTTAAAAATAAAATAAAATTGGTCTACGATGAATAACAGCAAAACCCAAGGTGATATAAATTATAAATCAAAATGAGAGATAGTAACAATTTCTATCTTTTTTAAGAATTCTATTCTTAGGGAGAATAGAAGAAGGAGACAAGGAAAATATTCTTTTGTAAGAATAAGAACAAAAAAGGAGAAGAAATAAGAAAATAAAAACAGCTGAATCCTGAAAATCCCTGCTCACTGGAATTTTTTTACGTTTCTAAAATATTTATTTCATTTTATTTTAAACATTTATATAGCAGCTCATCTTCTAACGAACTCTGGGTAGCCGCCAATAGTGAATTTTAAAAACGTATAAAATCATATTAAAACTATAAAACCAAACACATTAAAAACATTAAACTATCCTTCCTCAATCTTCCCCAATCTTCCAGTTGTAACAACATCCAGAACTCTGAAGTCAACGACGATTCATTCTGGAGGTAAAGTCCACACAGCTGGAAGACAAAACTCTTCTGAATTTTTATATTAGGCTCAGCCGGCTTTTCTCTATTTTCCTTTCTCATTCTAAGAACTAAAGACATAACTTTTGGCTGACTATCCCAATGAAGAAACCTTCTCTATTGTCTGGTTGAACCTCCCCAGACTGGCATTCTTCATACGGTGGTGGAAACTACGAGTATAGTCTCTTTCAATATTGTTTCGCAGGATGGAGGGAGACCTTATCATCCAGCTTTCTGGTGGATTGATGGAAAAGGAGGAGAAGTCAAATGGGGCTTTGAAAAACTGGGCTTTGTCTCCAAGAAAGCGGCCAATGTACTCACAGGGCCCTGTGGCCTGCAGAGAGGAGACCGAGTGATCCTCATTCTGCCTCGGATCCCAGAGTGGTGGATGCTAACCGTGGCATGTATCAGAACAGGTAAGAAAAAGACCATCTAGGCATAGGAACACCTGTTCAGGTATCTCATAGCAATTGTTTCCACCCTTAAATAATACAATAACAGACTTGGAATGGACCTTGGATGTCTTCTACTCTAGCCTCCTGACAAATGACTGTCCAATCTATTCTTAAAAGCCTCCAGTGATGGAGCACCACTAATTTCTGGAGGCAAGTGGTTCCACTGATTAATTGTTCTCACTGTCAGGAAATGTCTCCTTAGTTCTAGGCTGCTTCTCTCCTTGGTTAGTTTCCATCCTTTGCTTCTTGTCCTGCCTTTAGGTCCTTTGGAGAATAGCTTGACTCCCTCTTCTTTGGGGCAACCCCTTAGATATTGAAACACTGCTATCACGTCACTCCTAGTCCTTCTTTTCATCAAATTAGACATAGTCAATTTATGGCATGGACTTTCCATGTCCAGAAGAAGATTATCTTTTAATACTCTTTGCTGTAGGCAGCAAAGAGCTATGGCCTTTGGCTTCTGGATTTTCTTAGAGAACTGATGGCCCATCGCAGTGGGAAAGTAGACCCACCAGATTCAGTAGCTCGGATTCTTGAATACCTATTGATGGGCAATGAGTCTAAGAAGAATTGCAATGGTATGGCTGGCTAATTTTAGGTTGGTCTTATAGGGTTTATAAAGGGCAGGCTTCTTTACATGGACAGGTATATGAGAATATGACCAAGTATGTGGCACTGTTGTAGAGAAACGCGATGGCTCAGTGGCTAAGACATTCTTGTTTTTTGGGGGTGGTGGAACAAGGTGACTTTCAAAGCTTCTCATGAATGAACAACATTGTAAGAACATCCTCAAAGTTGATGTATTTATTGAACTTGTCAGGGATCACCTTCATCCCGGGGACTCCACAGCTGACAGCCAAAGATATGCAGTACAGGCTCCAGGTGTCCAAAGCTAAAGGCATCATCACAAATGATTCATTGGCCCCCGTGGTGGAGACTGTCTCTTCGTCATGTCCTTCTCTGCAAACCAAGGTGTTGGTCTCCGAGAGCAGGCGAGAAGGATGGCAACATTTCAAGGCGTTGTTTGAGTAAGGCACAATAAATAACAGTTGAACAGAGAATTGGAAGGGGCCTTATAGGTCATCTAGCCCAACCCCCACCCCCGCCCAAGCTGGAGACCCTACACCATTTCTGAGAGATGGCAGTCCAGTCTTTTCTTGAAAGCCTCCAATGATGAAGCTCCCACAACTTCTGAATAGCACACACCATTGCACAGAATGGATAGGAAGTATGCTAGGGAGGGAAGGCACTCAGTACCCGTAGCCTTTTAGAACTCATTTTGGCTAAATGACCATCCAGAAGGACAAATGCAACAAAGCTGCAAACTGAGATGGCCAGACACTTTGAAATTGGTAACCACTTTAATTTCTGAGCTTTTTTTTTTAAAAAAATCCCCATTTTCCCCAACTGTGTCTGGTTTTCAACAAGTCCCTACAATTTTCTTGGCGAGGTTTTTTTTTTTTTTTTGGAAGTGGTTTGGCATTGCCTGTTTTTTTCCCCCAGGGCTGAGAGAGAGCGGTTGGCTCAAGATCACCCAGCTGGCTTTATGCCTCAGGCAAGACTAGAATTTAGGGCCTCCTGATTGCTAATCTGTTGCCTTAATCACCACACCAAACTGGGTCCCTAAATTGAAGATAGATCTCCTTCGCTTCTTTAAGAAAGAACGGGATAGAATCTAACAAAACAAAGACCAAAAGATTACTCTAGAATACGATGATTGATGGACTACATGCCATCAATTCCTTGTTGTCTCTTAGCACCTACATAGATAGATTTTTCTCCAGGGTGGTCTGTTCCTTGACTTCTTCCAATGGTACCCACATCATTGCTGTAACTGAGTTTCTCCATTTTGTTGGTGGTTGCCTTCTTCTCTTTCCTTCCACCTTTCCCACCACCAGAATCTTCTCCAGACAGAGTTGGGTCTTTGCATAATGTGTCCAAAGCAGGATCATTTGAACCTGGGAGTGTCATGAGAAATGGGGAAGTAGATCTGGTAAGGGTAGATAAGCTCTGAGAAGAGGCGGGTGAGAATGTTACGTGGGAGTCTACATCATATTCCAGAAATCATATGTAACTGTTCAAAACAATTTTGGAAGATTCGTGATCTGCAGTTGTTTCTGTCCCTCAAGCCCCCTTTGAGTTCAGTTTCTCCATGCAATGGTGAGCGATCGAAATGTAAAATTGTGAATTAAATGTTAAAGGTCGCAATTTTGTAAAGCAAATCTACTTCCTGGGGGAGAAAAACAAGCTATAACAGTCACTCTTGGCGGTGGTGCTTTTTAAATATTGTGAAAATAAAATAGGCAGGTGCTTAAAACCAATCACAGAGATCCTTTGAATTTCTGAGTGCCATTTTTCCACCATCATTATAGGTCAGAGAGGCATTTAAGTCTGCAAATGAAACACCTACCTGGGAATAATTTTCAGCACACTCAGCGAGGTTTTCTTTCCAGTCAACACACGTTAGACTCTGCTCTAATTTCTGGCAGATAATTACATTACTCAGGCAGAGAATACAACAGAGAGCCCTGAGAGGGTCAACACTGAAGATAAAACATCCCTCTAGGAGTGGTGCGATCAGTTAACTAGTCAATCTTGATGATCAATTTTTCATTATTTTAAGTGAAAAGGATGAAGCTTCTTTCTGTTCACAGCTGATG